TTGCGCCAGCCGAGATTTACTTAATCGGCGTGGTATAAAGAGCGACGGGATGCGGAAAACTTGATCGCTTTAAGGCTCTTCACGTTGGCCAACATACTGGCGAATGTGTTGGCCAATAACGATGGCCATCGTGTAGAGCGGGTGTTTATGCTTACGTGGGTATGTATTGGAATGACGGCCCACAAGTTGGTGCAAGATCCGTGTGGTGTCGGTTTTTTTACAAAAGATCAAAGGGTTGTGGCAGAGTATAGGCCGCCGCGTCCACACGTTGGGCGCACGTTCAGTTTGCTACGAGCTCCTAGACTGATCTCACGCACCTGATGTAAATTTTATATGCACGCCTCGTAACTAGTGTCTACGTAGTGGCAGTAACAATGACCAATGGGAAAACTTTTCGCTTTATAGAGCCCCACCGAGCAAGCCAAGAAAATTGTTTGTAAAACACAAGTCTTTCAAGTCTTTTTAAAAAAAAAACGTTACTCCCACACTAGGATTTTCTTCTGTATCGTGGAGGCAGTTTACAAACAAAAATTGCATAAGGACAAACATCCAGCGAAGCAATTATGTGCAGGCCATACAAATACTTGTTCAGTGCGGGATTCAAACCCGCGGCGTCCAGCGCAGCAACTCATTGCTAAGGCACTACGTCACGGAGCCGTCAAGAAATGAAATTTCTTTTTTTCCATTTCTTTTTGATCACCCTTTTCTTATACACATTCACGTTGTAGTGGTATGCTGTGAATAAATAACCTGCAGCAGCCATTAGCGCCTCAATAACCATTTTAATAAATTCGTCCGTATATTGGCCTGAACCGAAGCAAACTGAACGACCTTCCAATGTGTGGACGCGATCATAAATTCTTGCCCAATATCTCTTCCAACACATTCGCCACTGTGTTGGCCAACGTGAAGAGACGCCATTAAAAAGATTAGTCGGAAATTGAAGTTGACAAGCTACTAGGAAATTTATGCCAATAGCAACATAACAATTCAAATGCGCTATTAGACACCCATTTTCTGACAACAAGCAACTATCACAGAGTAATAAAAACATTGTTATAAAAACGAATTCTATTAATTACCAGGGATATTGTGAATAGTAATTTTGAGTGCTAATTTATCAGTACGTGTATGTATACTCGGCGGTATAAGAAAATTATCGTGAGGAAACTATTTCGAGAGTTGTATATCTTATGATTTTACGTCCACCAGTATACATTGTGGTAATGCGGCGAATTATTGGCTCATAAGCTGACTGATCCTTTTGGCCATTTCGGTTACCCAGTTTCTACTGCGAAAATCTTCATTGTGGAATACTATGTTGTCTTCGAGGCTGTTACTTTACTTTTTTTACTTTTAACTTAATTACACTTATAGTCATTTAAAGTTTTATTTAAATGTGCCATTATTTAGAATTTAAGAATAAGTTTCTAATGCTTCTTTTAATATTTATAGGCATATTTGATGGTGCTTACAGAATTCAACGAGAACGTGGGAGTTCTGTCATCAATCACCGGCATGAATCGTAGGAGCTTTATAAGTCTCGTATTTTACTGTACAGATCAGTGTAGATATTGTCTTGTCAATGAATGGTCTCTTAAAACTGTTTTGTTTATTAATACATATTACAATTATATTATACCAAAATTTTGAATTTAAATCAAGTACAAGTATTTAACTTTACAAAGTATATTTTATAAGGTTTTTAAGATATTGTCGTAGTGTTTGCGTAAACATATTTTAGGATATTAAAATTTGCGAAGGTTTGATTTTCACAATATTTATATGTGTATAATATTTGATGTTTACAATAGAAACTCCATCAAATTAATAGGTAAGACTGATGCACAGATGATCAAGTTCTCTGCTTTAAACTTAGTATCGGTATAGACTTAAACTTTTACTATTGACTCAACTATTCCACAATAAGAGCTTTATAAATATAGAATTATTTTATGTAAAATTCAAATTCATAATTATATTTATACGTGGTAGAACCATGCTGCAGCTATATTAGTAATATAGTTGTAGCACGAATGGGTCGGCTCGACCGGGGAAGGACCACGCTGTCACAGAATACCTATGGTGAGTGTAGAGAACCGGAGACCCTTTTTACTGGAAAATAGGCATTCCATCTTAGTCCTCACGGTTGACAACGCATCTGCATTTTGATTCGCAAACGAGGATAAATGTAGATGTCTATGGGCCACAGCAACCACTTACCATCAGGTGGACTATGTGCTCGTTTGTCACCCTATCCTATAAAAAAATATATTACATATTATTGCTCCCTTTTTATCATCGTATAGTCTATTTATATCTATTTTTTTAATATTAGATAACCCTTACCTTTTACGGATTTATCGCAATTAGTTAGGATTATTATTAGTTATTAACTGATGTAGTTCGCGTAAATATAACAAATCATTTTTATTTTGTGTTACAATGTTAGGTTCCCTAATTTTCATTTAAATCCATTGAGCGTAATATACGCAATAAAAGGATCACGTGCTTAATTGACGTATATTTTTTAGCCTTACGTGTAGCTACAATGATTTCTTTAAAGTAAGTTCGGAATGTGAAAGCTAATAAGGACACGAAAGTTTAAGCACGACATAAGTAAGTTGACCTCGCTGGCCAGAGTAAAGGCTTAAACGTTATACGTTTGATGGAATATCGGCCTTTAAATTAGTCAGAGACAAATTTTGAATACCTAATTGACAGTTTCCTTCTCCGCGAAATAGACACAAGAGTTAGACAATCAACAGTTCGTACAAGATTCATGGGACAGACGGTTGTTAACATTGAGTTGGAACGCTAGGAGCCTAGGGTTAGAAGTGCAATTTATGTATGTAAACTGCCCCAGAATACAGGAAAAAATAGTTAGCGTGGGTGTAACGAATTTAAATTTGACAGTTCAATAGCGCAGTGGCTATCGTGGCTTTATTGGCCATGGATTTCAATTAGGCACAGATATTTTTTTTATAAAATAAGGGTTACGAGGTTCTGATCTCACTAAAACATAACAGCTGTATTTTTGGTGTAAATCTGGTTTCAGCGCAGATGCGCGCAAGTACACCTGAGCAAAAATAAATTTTCTTGATTTTATTTATATTAGATATTTAGTTTTTCATCATTCGTAACCAATTCATCCACAAATAATTTTATTCTGCAATAAGCAAGATCTGAAGAACACAACGTAACTTTTTCTATTTAGTTTTCTCCAATAATTCAAGCCGTACTCACTAATAGTGTCTATATTATACATAATAAAGTTCATACCGCAGAATTTATGACGCAATATATTCTATATTTTTGAAACCATTGTGGAGAGATATGATGGAGTTTTTGTGTACTACCAAAATTGACAGAACTTTTCTTGTGTATGGGAAATGCCGGAAAGATGTTATGGCTTTCGGTATAAACAACGCAATGTGCGTGCGTGCATAAGACGTAAAAATACACCCAAAAACGTGGATCTGCATCAAACGTGCGGAGCATCTGGGAATGCGATCGCCAAGCCAAGCTTGGTGATTAGGGCAAATTCCCTAATCTCAAAGTCACTAAAAAGCGAGAGGCTTAATTCTTGATGATTTGTTACGTATTAATGAAGAATGGGGCATATTCTGAAACATACATTAGATTAAATTACAGTAAAGTTTTAGTTAGATTTAAATATATATTGACTACTGCAGCTGAATTTTGAGGTAGGATACAACATGTGGTAGTAATTTTATTTCGAGAAAATATTTTACTACTATTACTATGCATTGAATATATTATAAATATTATTGTAAAATGTTTATAAGATAAATTTAAGTATGAATATAGTTTTATTTTTAATATACATTAATAGTTCATTTGTAACTATTTTAATTTATTAATTTAACCTAAAAATATTACTCAAACTCTTTTAATACAATTCAGTCAAAGTGACCTTTGCGGCGTATCTAAAATTCACAAGGTTTTTACTTAAAATTGGGCCGTCGTTATCGTATTTTTGTTCCATTAAATTATACGAAGCTGGGTTTGGTTTGTTACGGTAAACATTTTCTGTTACTCTATTGTCCGCAGCTGAGGTAACTCGCTCTTCTCTTTTTATATTGAATTATAAATTCAGTTAACTACATTTTTGTTTTAGAACAGTACCTATTCCTTTTTTGTAATAAAAATTACCGGTTTAGCTACATTATTTTAATGATTAACTTTTACTTTATTGTTTCAGAGTAAATCAATGTTGAGTGATAATCCGAGAAAATATCTGCAATAAGAACATGATTCGGGTACGTAACCTAATATGTTCTTTTCGCATTTAAAAAATCGATTATTTGTAAAATAAACATTGCTTAATACGATGCATACTACGGGTTAGTAGAAACATTTATTTGTTGTCCTTGGATATGAATTCACGTAGTGGATCTTGCTAACTATTGAACGAAATACATGTGCTTCCATTTCAAACTGTTAACTCAATTAATGTAGACTCATAAAGGGAAGTAGCATGACTATTACGAGCTTTTCGCAATAGCTATCAGCTGCTTTTTGCTGACCATAGATTGTTTGTCCAACTTAATGAGTATTATGCAAATCTTACTTAAGTATGTAGAAAAGCGCATTGTTCAAATGATGGCCAAACTTGATGAGTATGATTATGCATATCTTATTTATATATTTAAGAAGGCGCATAGTTTGAATATTATATATATCTAGCAGTAGATTGCAAAAATTAATATAGAGGACTTTTAGAGATTCAAAAGTAATAAAATTCTTCAATTTTTTATTATTATGATTAACTTTAACATATCCAATAGTAATAAATTGTTGTTGTTCAGTGGCGTGGACGGACGAAGGGTGTATCGGGATGAGCGACAAGAGCGTGGGGCGGTGCGCGTGCGCGAGTGCGCCTCGGGAAGCGTGATGCGCAGGGGCGCGCGCGTGGCCTGCGGCGCGACGCTCGCGTCCGCGCCCGCTCCCGCTCTCGCGCTCGCTCTGTGCGCGTGATGCGCGCGGATCGTGCCGCGCTGTACGCGTGGCTCGTCTGCTGCGCCGCCGCGTTACCCTCGCACAAGTACAGCACACGCGTCGTGCGTACCAAGTACGGACCGCTGCGTGGCATTGTGGTCCATTCGCACCCACAAGTCGAAGCGTACCTTGGCGTACCGTATGCCACACCACCACTTGGAAGCCTCAGGTGTGTAAAACGATGTCCTAAAAGTCTAGGAAAATGAGACTTTTTACAATATGGTAACACCGCTATATAATTTTGTTACCGGGACCATATTTTGAGTAATAACCTACCTTTCTTCAGTAATTAAAGTGTTCATATATGATGACATAGGCTTCTACCGTATAGAGAGCATTTGCTTTGATGATACTTGTTTGGCGTATTGTTTTGGGGTCGCTGGTCTGAGTATTTTATGTCTGGTGAAAACAATATCTCAAACTATCAGAATACATAACATTTTTGTGGCTTATACCATCCACGGAACGGAATGAGTTGATGGATTCTCTTATAGAATATTTTTTTCTATCCTGCACGAAAACCACTAGCTGCCTATGGTTATTATCGAATATTTATATATAAACACTCACGCCTGTCACCCAGAGGGGTAGGCAGAGACTATGGACTTCCATTTGGCACGATCCTGACACACTTCTCTCGCTTACTCCACATCCATATACCTACGCATACACGCTCGTCGGTTAAAAGTAGGTTCTCTTGATTTGGCCCATTTTCAATATATCGCCAATTTGGTCGATAAAATTTCACCTAGGGCATCCCTTCCCGACTCTGCCGTTTACCTCTACAACATAAATTTGCTTTGTCACTCTTTCCTCATTCATTCTTTCTACATAACCAAACCACCGAAGCATTCCTTTCTGAATCCTGGTCACAACATCATCTTGCAAAACACACTCTTTTCTTACCACACAATTTCTCACTCTGTCATTCAGATTCATCCCTAACATACTCCTTAATGACTGCATGTCTACAGCATTTATTCTACTCTCGTGTTTCTTCTGCCACACTCAACTTTCACTACCATACGTTATAGTAGGTACTAACATAGCAATTTTCAACAGTAATATGAGATAATGAGACAGTGTCAATTCCCACCGCACCTTCATGCCATCTATCCTTCCATTACAGCCTAAAAAAGGCCACTGCTGAACATAGGCCTCCCCCATAGATTTTCTCATAGGGGATCCCTCATTAATTTAATTAATTACAGCCTATAAAAGTTCACTATTGAACATAGGTTTTACTTGAGAATGCAATCCTGTATTAGGCTATCGTATATTCTATTATTTAGTTCAAAATGACTTTAAAAAGGTCACTTAATTAAAAGTGTTGTTGTAAGTTCAATGAAATAACCTTTTATAACAATGAAGTAAATTATATTTGAAATGTAGAAGCTCCGTTATTTTGTTAGGAACATTCTAACAATAAATAAAGTTTAGTAAAGTTGTGCGGTCAACCACAACATAAACGACTGCTTTAATATTATTTAACTAGAGAGATTTTCATTAAAACTTATAGACTAAAAGAACGGATGCCGCTTTTAATAGAAAGGACAAGAAATTATTGCAATAATTATTTTATATATATTTTTTAAACGAGGAGGACAAAACTTTTAACTAACGCTATAGTATATAACATGTTTAGTTATAGCATCGCATTGGTTAATATAACTGTAATGATGTTATAATTATGTAATAAATAAATAAATAAATGTTGTGTCATTTTATTTAACGAATTATTATTGTACGGATATAAAGGTTTCATTCGTCTAACAGGTACATGCCGCCAGTAACGCCATCACAGTGGCGCACGACGCGACTAGCGGACACAATGGGGCCAGCTTGCCCGCAAGTTCCTCCTGCAGCTTCGCCTCACGACGATGCGTTGCTAATATACCCACGCGCAAGGATCCGACAACTTGAACATTTATTGCCAATACTAGTTAATCAGAGTGAGGACTGCCTCTACGTCAACCTTTATGTACCTACTAACGGTAAGTTGAAATAAAATGCTTCAAAAGAATATTGCAGTTGATTTTTTTATGTTTTTATTATATATTATTTATTTACATCCATTCTAAAGTTCACACGACATGTACTAAAAACTTTCAACATATATCCTAAAACAAGTCATTAAACAACTAAATTTGTGGCAATTATTTGACGGCTCCGTGGCGTAGTGGCTTAGCAATCAATTTTTGCGCTGGGGGCCGCGGGTTCGAATCCCGTACGGAACAAGTATTTGTATGGCCTACAAATAATTGTTCCGGGTCTGGATGTTGGTCCTTGTGCAATTTATGTTTGTAAACTGCCTCCACGACACAGGAGAAAATCCTAGTGTGGGTGTAACGTTTTTAAAAGAATATAATAGAAAAAAGAAAAATTATTTATATGATAAACGTGTCGTGTCCAGTATCAGTATTATGTTATGATAGCATATTTTTATTATTACTATTTACTACGTTCCGTTTTACGATCACCACTTTGTTGCATAAATGTTATACGAGTACGATATAATTATTTTTTATAGGATAGGGTGACAAGCGAGCACACAATCTACCTGATGGTAAGTGGTTGCTGTGGCCCATAGACATTTACATCTATCTTCGATTAAGAATCAAAATGCAGATGAGTTGTCACCCGTGAGGACTAAGATGGAATGCCTCTTTTCCAGTAAAAAGGGTCTCCGGTTCTCTACACTCATCATACGAAACACAGCAGTGTTAAGCTGCTATTTTACGCTGGTATTCTGTGAGAGCGCGGTCCTTCCCCGGTCGAGCCGATCGATTCGTGCTACAACTATACTACTAATCTAGCTGCAGCATGGCTCTTCCACGTATATATTAGCTAACACTTTTATAAAATATAATTCAAAACAAGTATTCAATCATACCTCTGTTTACTTACAAAAAGCCATTATTATAACGCATATCATAGTAAAAGAATATTAAATTTTTAATACAAACTGTAAAATTGCTTCATTATACGCATTTTTTTTTCATTTTACACATTGACCGCAACATGTTATCAATAAATCCCAATTTTGTTAAGATTTTATGATTCCGGATAGACGTTAATAATATATTTAGCCCGTTTACTATCATAAATTGTATTTTTTTTTCTTTTTTATGTGTAATACTAGCTACGATTTGTAGTGGGACCAAAAATAATTGTCTGCTTTATCATTAAATTTACCTAATACAAAAATACTTCACTTAAGTTTGCGTTCATCTTCAAAAACAATATCACTGCAATAAATTGCATTCACAGAACTGAATCGTTGTACATTTCAATTTTTAAAAATTGTTATGATCGAAAGAGGAAAAAATGTTGGCAGCATGAATTTTTTTCAAAAAAACAAAGGTGTAAACACTTTCGTTTTCCTTTTAGTTTCGTTAATATCTCTCTCGCATCACACTCACTGCACTGTATCTGTTTTTTCGTTTTTTATCATAGAAAATAACTTTATGGTAAAATACTTATAAAGTAATAATACAGGTTACCACAGTTTATCTATTGAGCCGGTGATTGAGGTAATTGATTGAGTTAGCCGGTAATCTCTGCCTTTGCCATAGGCTCATAATTTATTTAAGTTATTTGACCCTAAATTGACAGACTATAAAATAAACTGTTTGAATTTACCGCGAACCGCAATTAATTACAAATTATGATTTTTAATAAACATTATGTGTTAATATACTATGTTATAATGTAATATATCATGCTTAAGTTATAGTTAGATAAATAATTGTGGATTGTTAATTAATAACGCTGATATTAACTACCTGTATGCCTATAAGTACTTATTTTTTTTAAACTAAAACTCTTAAAGTACGATTAAAACGTACCTAACTCAGGTCTTTTTCTGCTTTTTTTTTCTTCTTTTTTTACTCGTATAAAACATAAAGTAAATCCTAACTCTTAAACCGTTTGTCGTCCATCGATCTTTCTTTTCTTTTTAAAATGAAATATATACATATATATATATATATATATATATATATTATTAAGTAAATAACTGTAAATAAATTAGAAATAATAAATTAATGCCAACACAACTTATGTATATAATATAACAACTGTATCCGTCTTGTCGCCTAACTGGTGACAAGAGAGCCGCTCTCTCAAAGTCTACATTCGGCGAGGAAACGCAGACAGCGTTCTTGGTACTATACCGCGGAGATAATTTCAGTTTAGTTTTAGTTTTTTTTATGATTATTATCAATATTGTATATTATAAGAATAAAAAAGTAAAATGAAGTAAAGAAATAAAATGAAATTTGTAAAATAAAATAAATTAGACATAAATGTATGTAATTAGTAATAAGTTTTACTTTAACCAAGCGTAAAATTTTCTATATTAAAACTTTTCATAAAATTTTGCAGCAATTATTCTCGGTTGAAAAAACGGTGAATGGTTGATAAAAGGATGCGACCAAAGCGAAAATCTCAAGACTCATTTGCGACGTCGGGAACTTGAAACAACAGCGACTGTGAAGGGTGTCGAGGCCTCAATTCCGTAGTGCATTGCAGTGCATCATGCCCCCTGCAAGCAGTGCGGAAGTGAGGCTGAGACAGTCTATAGCTACGTATCCACAGAAGAAGAAACTTATTGTACAAATTGTGTAAAAACGAATCTAAGTTTTGAAAAAGTTAGCTCTTTCTTAATAGTTGGCACTTTTATTATTGGTAAATATTGAAGGATTAAATATGAAATTGTCCTCGTGCAAAATTAAAAACGAATATCAATAAGGAGAGAAATATTAATTTAGTCGAAATAACTTACCCATAATATTGTCGTTGTAAGGTTATCTTGCGAAAAAATCGGAGAATACGATGTAACAGAGTATATAACGGCATTTTGTACTGCTCATCGTGACGGAAGCATGATGTAGCTGGGTTGATTTTGGTATGAATGGATCGGCTCAACCGGCGAAGGACCATGTCTTAGTGATATATTGTTTCGTAATGTAAATTACGAGACCCTTTTTACTAAAAATAAGACATTTGATGTAACAATTGAGTGCAGGATGACGAATTGATTTTAGTTACAACTCTTGAAATGTTGAAATAGTTTTTTGGGCTTTGTACTCTTGCGTTTATTTCGTTATTATCCATTATAGGCATCGTCTCTTATATATAGAAACTATATTAAGTAACACCAGAACATTAAGCTATTTCTTTGGGCAAATTATTATGCTATATCTCCTCTTTCTACTACTGTATAGTACGTGTACGATTATTGTAAAGGATGCACAGTAATGATTAGATAAGTACATTGTAATTTATGTGGTGATTTATGAATTGCAGCCTTATTTCTCAGGCCTTCATGCAGATCAAACAAAATTGTAAAACATTTGCAAGTCACACGGTTAATGATTTCATCTCTTTGAATTAAGAATTGAGAGGTTTACATTTTAAAGCAATTTAAGTTTCAAACGATTTGAAATAAAGTGCAATTTCATATGTTTTCACTAAACATCTATTACTTCTCAGCTATTTTATTTCAAAATAATATACCGAATATATAATATTACGTATTAGGCAATATTATGTAGACTAAGATTATAGGAAATTTTAAATAAAATAAAGCTTATTTTTTTAAATGACTAACATAATTAAAATTTCGTATTAGGTGCTTTCCTAAGAGATCACTGATTTTCATGTAATTTTTACCTCAAAAGGAAAAAACCTAACTGTTATCTACACACTGTTGTCCGTCTGTCTGCCTGTCAAGATCCTTTTTATCGGGAACGGGTGAAATTGTTCTCAAATATTTTGATGAGGTCTATGATCCCTTGGAGATGAAAAACTTTCAAGTTCCCAATTAATACAATCAAAAGATACGGTCATTTATGTCACTTACGAGTAATATTATGATACTCGCAAACTCACTCATCAGATACTATAGGATATTTCCCATTGATCTAGAATAAGAAATATACCAACACAAGTATACGCGAAAATTCTGAAATAGCAATTAACACTTAAATCACTTTAAAAATATTATTTTGGTAGAACCAAGTTGCAGACAATGATGAAAAAGGTAGCGACAGATTAACAAAATTTGGCTGCTTTATTGCACGCACTTACACTTCTTCTCTTTGAAACCTGAGGGATCTCCTACGTCTAGGTGTTTAATGGACCTAGCGCCGATAAAGTTAGAACTTATTTTGAAAAGAGTACAACATTTTTTTTCTATAAATAAATTTAATAAGAAAATGAAGTAGCAGTCTTTATGGCATTTGAATAATTCTTAGACTTAAAAAAAATAGTATCAATTAACTGCCCACAAAGTGGCAACAGCAAATAAATAATACGTTATTATGCAGTAATTTAAATGACTAAGTTAAATTAAACGATTAAAATTTAGCAAAATTATTTTGTTGCAATAAGTAAAATTTACTTTATTATTTATAGTGTAGGTATAAAGGCAACAAACTTAAAGTGTTTGCATTTCATAACAGGTGCTGAAGAAGGAAATGAAGGTGAAAGCCTACCTTGTCTAGTTTTTGTACACGGAGAATCGTATGAATGGAGTTCAGGGAATGCCTACGATGGCACAACGCTCGCAGCACATGGGAATATCATCGTAGTTACAATCAACTTTAGACTAGGAGTTTTGGGTAACTATGCATAATATATCTATACAAATGAAAGGTAGTAGAGGAAGTTAGTTATAATATATTAAAGTGTTGAACGTACCACTGTTGAGTTCTAACATTAAGAAAAATGTACCTCTGCTTTCATAAGGTGTTCCAAAAGTTCTAGTGGTCCAAAACAGCGTTGCTGATCATGAGGCCCCGGGTTCGAATCGCGGGTCGGGGCAGTAGCAGAGCGGAGTCAGGAAGTAGGTGGTGTTTCACCCCCGTGCCTCGGAAAGCACGTAAACCCGTTGGTCCTGCGCCTGATTTCTGTATGGTCGTGTCGGATTATGTTCCCATAGGAATATGAGAGAGAGGGAATAGAGAGTGCAAATGTGCTTGCGCATGCACTCGGTTAATATAATCCTGTCCTGCGCACAGGCTAGTTTCGGTTCAGATTCGCTGCCGTGACTGAAATTCGGCCTGGGGCTCACCAATATGGTTACTCAGTTGAGTCGCAATGCTTTAACATCTTTTTTATTTTATTATACTTTAAGTACATGCTTGATAAATGCGTACTTAAGAATTAACTCTTTCTTATTTCATTGATCAATAATTACAACACGCTTAGGCCAAACCCGCTCGTAAACGATATTATTGCCCAATTTTTGTTAATAAGCAAAAACACCTATGCAGTTTTTGTGCTTTGTGCACGGGTTATGTGATACTATGTATTCGTGATTTAAAATAAATGAATTTAATAAAAAAAATTATGTTGATTACCCATACAATAATTTGTAACAGTAATCATATTAAATATAAAATTGAATTTACTGTACGAGTTTGTGTGCAATATTCCCCCATTAAATTAATGAGTACCTATGTGTATCTTTATAATTAATCTAAGTATAGACTATATATACTAAGTTCCAAACTCACCTGGACACAATGAATGCCTTCTCACTGACTAATGTTGGTCTGGTCTAATTTCAATCTCAAAAACTAGTGAAGAAGAGCACTATTACCAGTGTAAATATCTGCTCTGTAATCTCATCTAAGTTCGAGTCATGGTGAATATAGGCAAATTTTTAAATATTTCCCACTATTCTGAAAAAACCCAGAACCAGCTGTGAATACAAATGGATGAATAGAAGAGAAGCGGAACTTATAGAGTATTTTGAACACAAGGACACGTGTATTTTGCAGGTTTTTTAAAGACTGGTGCTAAAGGGTCAGCACAGGGTAATTTCGGTCTAATGGACTTAGTGGCAGGTCTACATTGGTTGCGAGAAAACCTGCCTGCGTTCGGTGGAAATCCTGAGCGTGTCACTCTTATGGGTCACGGTACCGGTGCAGCACTCGCAAATTTTCTCGCAGTATCACCAGTTGCTAGAGGTATGATGTTATCACTATTTACTTATTTTTCAAAAGTGCTCTCTTGGTGGTTTAGTTTAGTTTAGATAGTATATTTCAATTCTTTGCTCGTTGCTTGTCAATCTTGAACATACTGCTTTAAAATTAAAGATAATGTAATTTTAATTGGGAAAATAATCATTGTAGTAAAATTTTACTTCTTTATAATAACTATAATATGTTAATAAAAGTTTAAAAAAATTTGTCTAGATGACAATAATATTATAAATGACACATTGTTATTAGTAGTTTAAATATTAAACACAAAATAATTCCTAATGTTAAAATCCTTCCATCAACGTGAGTGGCCGGAGTCTAGCAGTGGACTTTACAGGCCGATAAAGAGAAAAGAGAAGAAATTTTAGTGTACATTACTTCAGTGTGTCTTACTGAAAATAATGGAGTTAACTTGAGTTTTCTGTTTCAGAACTACTAAAGCGAGTCATCTTGTTAAGCGGGTCGGGCTTGAGCTCTTGGGCGCTGCAGAGGGAGCCTCTTACGATAAAAAGAAAGGTAATTTACCTTTCTTTTAATCGTGCCTTTAAGCGTGCCTTTTTATAAGATATTATGTAAGCTTTTGAGTGTTAGATCAAGTCGGGTAAATAAGTGAAAGTTTTTCAGTCACTTTTTTGAGATATGACTATTTCAAATCGAATGTGTTCGTTAGGTTCGTTTCATGTGATTAAGTGTGATTATCTTATATTTAGGTAGCAGAGCAGACGGGATGTCACGGAGATTTGTTGGAAGATGACTTGGCGCCTTGTCTTCGGAAACTGCCTCTTTCTCAACTATTAGCGGTGCGGCTAGACCCACCTCGCTTTTTAGCTGGTTTTGCACCTTTTGTTGATGGAACTGTTATTGTAAATCCATCTTCAGTAAGTCCATCTCCATTTTTACTAATAAAAATATATTAGCATTTAAGAAGTTACTGTATTTTTTTTACTAGGTAGTTTAACTTAGTATTTTTCGCAAATAAAATTAATGCCTCATTTTTTTTGTTTAGTAGATACTAGATTATACATGGTAGAGCCATGCTGCAGCTATATTAGTAGTATAGTTGTAACAAGAATGGGTCAGCTCGACCGGGGAAGGACCACGCTCTCACAGAATACCGGCGTAAAATAGCAGCTTAAAACTGCTGTGTTTCGTACGGTGAGTGTAGAGAACCGGAGACCCTTTTTACTGGAAAAGAGGCATTCCATCTTAGCCCTCACGGGTGACAACGCATCTGCATTTTGATTTGCAAACGAGGATAGATGTAAATGTCTATGGGCCACAGCAACCACTTACCATCAGGTGGACTGTGTGGTTACTTGTCACCCTATCCTATAAAAAATACCTCATAACTATGTGTAATATAAATATTAATATTATGTGTTAATTTTGTGTCTTATATGCTTTATCTATCGTATATATATATATATATATATATATATATATATATCATCGGTTTATGACTACAGTTATATAAAATTACACTACAGTTAAATAAAGATAATTATTGGAAGATTTCATTTTGTTATTCATTTGTTACGTTTGAACTTAAGATTAACTGAAATATTTTGAATTTAGGCATTATGGTAAAAAAAAATGAAATCAACAAAATTTATGTAGGCTCCTCCGCCGACGGATAGTTCAAGGCTTGGTGCGGGGGCCGCGGCTGTAGCGACTGCTGCCGGCCACGAGCTAGCGGATTTTCCTCACAGGGAGCTTTTATTTGGATTGACAACCACAGGCAAGTTTATATTTATATTATGTTTCTATTTTTTGGGATTGTATTTAGACAATTTGTCATCATTCTTTTGACATTCAAAAACTCCAGTACCTGAATAAACATTTGTCTCACATTTATCACTTTAAAGCTCTTTCTAAGTTATGTTTAATACGTTTGTTTAAACATTGCCTCTTTCAAAAGATATTACAATTTTAATGGTAAAGCCTCACTTCTTAGAGGTACAACTCCGTTTAAATTTATCTCATTTAAATATGACTGTGAAGTATTTCACAAATTTTATGTAAATTACTGAAGTACTCCAACTTACAGAATCTTATTTGGAATTCAACGCTCAAGACTTAGAGTTCGGTTTCAATGAAAGTCGACGGGACCGCATTCTACGTACATTTGTTCGTAACGCATACTATTATCACCTAAATGAAATTTATTCTACATTAAAAAATGAGTATACGGATTGGGACAAACCTGTACAAAATCCTTTAAGTGTCCGAGACGCTACTCTCGAGGTAAGAAAACTCTTATTACGTACCTATTATTATATTAACTTTCCATATTTTTATGATATAAATGATAAATATTTTCACACACAAGATACGCATTTCTATCAAGTCTGTTGATCTTAATTTAAGACTCAAGTGGTTTTTGCAAATCATCCAACGACTCTGTAACATACAAAAGAAGTTAATGACACTCGCGCGCGATGAATACAAAATAGGCGTTTCATAAGACTATACTGAAAATGACTGGCAAGCTCTTGTTGTCCGATGATTAAAGTATTATTTGGAGATATTCATACGAAGCTTTTAGGATTTTTTTTAATATAAACCGACATTATGTACCTTTAAACAGATCAATTTCAGGGTTTATAATGCTTGTTTATTCATAATTTTAAGTTAGAACTCAGTTAAGTGGAACTAATTAAATAAAAATAACAATTTAGAAATGTAATAGAAATTAACATATCATGCTAATATAGTAAATTAATATTGCACTTAAAATGCCCTACTTATATAACTTTTAAATTAATGTTTTTAAATTAAAAGGAATTTAAATTGAATTGTATCTTAGAAAAATTTAACCATCTTCTTTGTCACTAGTTAGGACTATGAGGAATGCCTCGTTTACACTAAAAATGATCTCAGGTTCTCTTCTCTACACTCAACATTCGTACATATTCAACGTAGCAGCGTTAAGCGCGCGTTAACGTAGCGCTATTCTGTGCGAGCGTGGCCCTGCCCCGGGTGAGCCGACCCATTCGTACTACTACTAATATAGCTGCAGCATGGCTCTAACATGTAAAAAACAAAAGACGTGTTAACATTACACAATAATCTAAAAAAAACATGCGTGAGTGTCATGGAAGACTCGGTTGGAACGAAGTTCCTTCCGTAGTATATTATTATTGATAAACGTATTATATTATTGATTAACAAATACTAAATAATATTTCTTTCATGGCAATATAAGAAAAAGTGCGAGGGAGATGGATATTATTCCATCTCGCTCGCACTGTAGAAAAGGCCGTGACGGAAAAATCTTACATTTTTCTCGCCTAGCCCCCATCCGTTAAATTCGTACCGTGCGATAAGGAATTTCGTTCCAAAAATAGAACTTATATCCAGAATAAGGTAAAGGTATTAAACGACGCTGGACCAATATTAATAATTTAATAACACAAGCAAACAGAAAAGTAAGTAAAAATTATCACAAATAAAAATAATGAGAAACAAAGAAAATGTGCATATAATTCTATAAAAATTCATAATACGAATTCCATGTTTGTGTATCAAATCGCAGACGTATTGGAAACATTTTGTGACTAATTAAAACTTTAGATTATGGAATTTTTAAATTGATTGATATACCTTACCACAGAAAATAAAAATAAACAATATTGAGACAAAACTCTCTCAATATTGTTTATTTTTATATAAAAACAAAACATAAAGAAGTTTTAAAATTCGTCACAAAGAATTTTTGCCCGTGGGTTGAGAATGTTCATTTAAGAAAAAGCTAGCCTTGAAAAGACTGCCGTAATAACAACGTAAAACTAACAATATTTAAAGCGATTTGTAACTCTGATTAGTAACAAAGGTTTTAAATTTGTCTAAACTTAAACTATACAAAAATTCAATAAGATTATATTTTGATGGAGTGACGATATAAGTACCAAATCCTTTGAATTTGATCCGTGAAGATGTCACGTCATCTGTCTAAATGGTTCTGGCAATTTTTATAGAGCCACTTTATCATGAGATTTTTCAGGAATTTCTGGTAATTAAGTGAACATCTTTAAATAAAAAAAAAGACTAAACTTTTATCTGCATATTTCTCATATTACTATATTTTTTAGATTCTTAGTGACGGTCGGACAGCCGCTCCCTTAATACGTCTCGGATATTTACATGCTCTTAGAGGTGGCAAAACTTATTTCACCCATTTTCACCATTTATCTCAAGATAAGGACTATCCGCAGGTAAATATTTAAAATCAAAAATTTTTTTCTAGTTCAAGTTTAAATTTGTATACTATTTTAACAAATTGTTCAATTCCACAGCGTCCGGGATCCGTGCATGGCGAGGAATTACCATATTACTTGGGCGTACCATTGTCTATATCTCATCATCAACAGAACTTTACACAGCTAGAACAACGGGTCTCAAGGATTTGCATGCATTATATCTCCAATTTTGTAAGGCACGGGTAAGATATCACTTTCAGAACAATTAGGATATTTTATATCAATTAATGTCTCGCAAAACACTCAACTCATAAAATAAATAGAATTTCTCACTTTATAAGTTGTGAATTAAAATATGTTTTACAAAACAAATATTCATCCATTATCCATTACAGCTTATTAAAGCACACTATAGAAAATAGGCCTTTCTCATAGATTCCCTCATAAGAAGATAATTCCATAGTTGCTACGCTTGGCAAACGGATTTGCAACCGCAACTTTTAATTATTTTCATTTATGACCAGGAAGATGCTGCTGACTACCTCCTGTTTCAGTTTCCCTCTGTCTCCTTTTAGGACACTCACAAGACGATATGGGGTGATGGATATTTTCACACTGCCGCTCCATGGTAAAATAAAATATGCTGAAGAATTAATAATGTACTCTTACCCGATTTGCACGGCGCAAGAGACATTACAGAGCTACTACGCCTTGCAGTGGCACTCATGCTAAGTTGAAGTTAAGCTAAGATGCAGCATAAGAGATAGCGAGGGCAACTTTAACTATAAGCCCAAAAACCAATAAAATGTATACTCTTGCACAAATGTTGACTCTAACTGGGATTCGAACCCAATAGCCACGTAGGTACTTACTTACTACATTATCTACGCAATGATTTTATATAATCATTATCCTCGTCATTATGGAACCCTTCATAAGTCTACTCCGTAAAAAAGACCTCTCCCAAATAATGTCACAAAACACAGTTCTGACCCACTAGCGTCCAATGATTTCCTACGTGTTTCATTTGGTCACTTCTCCGACTACCCGGAGGCTTCCAAGACATTACAGGGCAAGGGCGAATTTTGCGGTACGAGGTTGTCACTCGAGAATCTTTCTTAACCATCGCTAAGGTGGTACAGATTATAATAATAATAATGTCCTCCAGACCGAATTTCAGCCACGGCGGCCAGTCTCAACGGAGACTAGCCATCGGCGCAGGACAGGATTATAGTGCCCAAGTGTATGCGCAAGCACAGGTGCACTCTCTATTCCCTCACTCCTATAGCCCGATGGGACGGTAAACCGACACGACCGGAGAGAGATCAGGCGCAAGACCAACGGCTTTACGTGCTTTCCGAGGCACGGGGGTGAAACACCGCCAAATTCCTAACTCCGGGCAGCTACTGAGAATTTCTTTATGGAAAAACTCAATAACTGATTTTTTGGCCCGACTCGGGATTCGAACCCGGGACCTCACGATCAGCAGTCGCACTACTACTACACTAGATTATAATATAAAATATAAGATAATAATTGAAAGTACAGTAGTCTTAATTATCTAGTATATAATTATAAACTATGATCTTATCACATCAACTAAGCTAGAGAATATAATTGAGCTAAGTTCCTCCAGCAATTCTGCCATAATAATAATAATATCTTATACATGTCAAAGTCGAGTGATTTATAATTCACCATTGATACTGATACCGTAGGTGCAGTAGCTTTAAAACGTCTTCCGATGAGAAGCTGAAGAGTTTCGGGGATTATAATATTACATTCTCAGTATCAAATTCTGTTACAAATATATAACGCTAAGAATTCAGTTGATAAAATTTATAATAATATACAAAAGTATGTTTTTAATACTACAGTAATTCCAACGATCCCTCGGTGACAACACCACCCAGTAACTTGTTAGGTGAAGCGCCAAGTCTTGCACCTGACGAAATGCTTTATAGGGACACGTATGACACACACAAAGGCTCTTTCATAGTTCCCACACACAAGACAAATTCGCAGATTGTACTTTTTGGGCTTTTGTAAAAGACAAAGATTATGACAAAGAAAAAATTCTATTAAATATATTATAACGCTAAGATTTCAGTGGATAAAATTTACGAGTATATATATAAGTAATGTTTTTAATACTACAGTAATCCCAACGATCCCTCGGCGACACCACCACCCAGTAACTTGTTAGGTGAAACACCACATCTTGGACCTGACCAAATGCTTTATTGGGACACGTATGATACTATTAATCAACTCTATATGGAAATTAGTAAGTACATAGTAAAATTACTGAAAAAATGTTTTGTTTATTGAAGTACATTTATATGCATCCATTTATCTCACAACATATTTTTATAACATAGGTAGTAAACCAGAAATGCGAAATCATTATCGAGGTCACAAAATGTCACTATGGCTGTCACTTATACCGCAACTTCATCGCCCTGGCTCTGATTTGCCTGATGCTGCAATGCGACATCATCACTTTCAAGATGATAATGCTAATTACTATGAAGGTAAAATATTACAGTAATAATAAAATATAAACAAGAATTTATTTAATAAAAACAATCAATATGTACACATTTTTATTTTATTGATACAGGCGCTGTAAGACCACAATCAATGTCGAGGGCTCATGTTCCGCATGTTGTAAATATCGACGACGGTGCACGCGGAGAAGGTCGCAGTACACTTTCTCCTCATTCTGCACTTCCCAAACCCTCACCAGTGCCACCTGTGATATCTACTGAGTGCCCTCCTAATGCCACTGTTACGCCAATGCAACCAGACGATGCACTTCTTCGCCGTCTAGCTTCTTCTCATTATCAGTCTTATACAGCAGCTCTCACTGTTACCATTGCTGTGGGCTGTTTCCTCTTGCTACTAAATGTACTTATATTTGCTGGTATTTATCATCAACGAGGTTCACGACCCAGACGCTCAAAAGATGATTTAGGCGAAGCAGGAAGCTCATCGTCCTCAGATAATTACGATGGGAAACTGGACTACGAAATACGTGCTTATGATGGAAAGGGGTTCGGTTTTGAGTGCAAATCAGCTCACGTGTCTCGAAGTTTAAGTTCCAAATATGATTTACGGACGTTATCAGATTGTGGAGAGCCGACGTTCGGTGAATATAGCTGTTACGACGAAAAACATCGTGCTGCTCGTAATTCTCTACCAGACGTTAGTGTAGGAAGTGCGATAGAAGCGGGAAGTGTTGTTTGTATAGATACGCAAAAACCGGACATACAAAAAGTAGAAGGACGATTACAAGATGTGATTGGACGAACCAGTACTTTTGAACCCCGTGTCGTAGATAGCTCGACACAAGTAAAGTTTGGTCCAATTCTAGATTCAGAGACTACTTCTGAAGCTAACGGTGATTCTGAAACCGGACCTGCTGGAAGTTCAAGCATATTGAGGGTACCACCTACAAATTCTACGCCTATGCCACCGGGAATTATGAAAAAAAGGGTACAGATACAAGAAATATCTGTATGAGATTATCTGAATACCGCCGAGGTAGTAGTGAATAAAAGGACAAAGTTGTGATTTTTGCAAACTTAAACAATATGTACATACTCGTTAGTCATTAGTGGCATTATAAAATTGTTGTAAAATGTTGTGTATATATTGTAAACAAATTAGTTAATATTTGATAACAGGCATTTAACATTATCTTATATTACTATGCGAACGGGATGTAAATAATATACAAATAAAAATACACGTTTGCATTTTTCATGTGCATATATTTAATATAGAATCGAAAGTATAGGAAGATATTAACAGCAGATAAAACTGAAACAGTGAAAGAATTTATAAAAATACATTCCTACTGTTATTTGATTCCTATTTTCGGTGACAGAAACGTCTAGGTGTTCGTAAACATACCATGAATGTGAATATTAAAATAAATAAATAATCAAAGATTTAATGGATCCTTTATTAAGTGTGTATAATTTTATCACATGGAATGTGTTTCAAGTGCATGCCATAAAATAACCTAAAAAGTAACATACGAATATGTTGTGATTTTGTGTAAAGTTAATTTAAGTGGGATGTATTAGGTTGGTGTAGTTTTTTATAAGTAAATATTTAAAACATACTATAACGAAATGGTATGAGGACGAGTACATCACAATATATTTTTTTTGTGTTATCGTTTATACTAGAAGATGGCGAAACATTTCATATACATGGTTAACAGGGTAACAGACCACAAACACAAATTTCCAAAGAAGTATTACATACCAACGCTCAGTAAATTGCTTTTAAGCTTTCTTTTTATAAGAAAACAAATGGTTTTAATTTTTTTTTAATCCTTATCTATAAAATTGCCGTTTTTAGGAAATTTTTTTTTTGAAATTAAAATAACTTAAATTGATTTTTTTGGCCATTGAATGAAGGCTTGCACATGGATCATCTTTAAAAAATTCTGGAAACGGGAGTCAATAAATTTATTAAAAAGTTTTTTAATCCCGCATTTAGAAATTTTTCTTTGGAAAAGTTCAAATTCATACAAAAGTTACAATCGGTAGTAGCGACGTCTGGCGTGTAGGGTGGATGACTGATGGATTCTAGTTGAAGTGTTGTGCAAATTGTGAAAGAGCGATGTTGTAGAGAAATAATAATCTAAATCAATAGACACTTTTCATTTGGGTGATAGAGAGGCTGTTCACCAGCGTACGCAGTTAATTCAGTTTATTTACACAGAATTTGTCGTGGTTGATTTTAAGAATCTGTAATCGCGACACAAGTCACCATTCATGTTGTATTTTAATTATTAATTGGGGCAAGATGTTTAACATTGCACATGGACTACATCATTTACTTACGATTAGATGGTTGTGAGCTAATTTTTTAAACTTTTTATCCTAGTTCCTACTAGTGACAAAATGATTTAAAATTTAATGGTGTGACAATTCAACAAATCAAAAATTAGGATAAGGTCTCAACGCGAGCTTGTTGTTGTCCTTTAGTTATCGAGCTATATAAATTAGTAAATACATATTATGTTACCCATTTTTCTGCTTCTTTTCTCCTTTTATTTGCCAATTTGATGCAATTCAAACAATATCGTTCATCTTTCACGATGCTGGAGATAAATCCGCTATCTTTCAGTCTTTGATCATGCACAAAGGTCGTTGTTGAGATCTTAAACTCTTATTAATATCAAGAATGTAAACATCTAAAACGCGAGTGTTCATTTATTTTGGTACAACTGTTTCATTGGTATCATGACAAATTCATATACAAAAATAATGCGAAAGTTAAATTTTTACAACGCATAGTGATTTCAAAGAAAGAATATATAACAGTAAAACAACTAACAAACACAATTAATTAAAAGCTATGCTATAGCTGTATAAATTTTTTATTTAAAATTGTAAATGAAATGCTGCAATTTTGAAGATAAGGACCTGATAAATTTTAAAAAGAAAATATGCGTCGAAAATTTATGATAGACAGAGCTTGAGACCAGACCTTATCACCAAACCTTTTGAAATTGAAACGTATATTTTAACAATGCTTGCCGCGTACTCGTCCAGACTTTAACTTAACAGGAATTGATAATTTATTAAAAAAAAATAAAAGTAACTGACGATTAATTTTAAATATGGGTTTAAGCCATATTGTGACAAAATGTGACTCGTTTTTAACAAGATACATATATAATAAAAGTGTAAATCGTTAATAATACTTTGGAATTGATGAAATAAGAATGATATATTGTATCAAAATATTCTTATATAGAATACTCTTTGTATAAATAATACACGGGAAAAAATCATACATTTAAATTAACAGTTGCTAATTTACTTTTTACTCTAAGCTAATTTTATTTTTCTCTCTACTGAAAGGTAATTTTATTTTCAAAGGTTTAATGTATTACTTAATGGAATAACATTAGATTTTAAGCCTTTTAAGTAAATTTTGTATCACACATCATCTAAAAAAGAACAAATAATGTTTAATATTTTATAGATTTTATTATGGGACATTCTAATTACGACAGGATTTCTTTGTCTTTCTTTTGAGTAGTTATCCTCCACTTATCGGGGCAAATTTGCCGCATCATTATTAGTTACATAATAACACATCTATCGCTCTCCTGTAAATTTCATGTATTTGTTTGCCATTCTTCATAGCTATTGGTTTTAAGAGTATAATTGCCAATCAAAAATAACAATTTATTTGTAAAAAGCATACAAGTCTAATAATATACATTCTGTTTAATGGAAAAATATTATTAATTAAAATAAATCGTTTAATAAAGTAATTTCTTCTTGTTATGTATTTTTCTGCTTTGTGAAGGGTTTGTGCAATTTTATTTCTATTTAATTCAAATCAGTATACATAATATTAAGTGTAACTACAATGAACAAATAAAATTAAACGAGTTCTCAATTAATTTTAGATGAAATGAAATTGTAAATAAATTTGTAATATACATATTATAATTAATAAGAGAATATTCAATATTGTTATAATTAAATTAAACTGAATGGAGTATCAACATTTTGTTACAATTTGGTGTTTAAATGAAGTACATAACATAATATTATGGTGTCAAATAAAATTTTGAAAACAGTTTTGTTTTATTTGATTTTAAAACTAAAATTAAAAAAGTTAAAAAAGTTTTAAAGTACAAAAATATTTCAGTTATCAATTAAGGTTCTGTTAGAATGTATTAAAATACCATTAATATTTTAATAGTCATTCATTTGTTCAAATCAAGTTTCCTCACGATGAGTCCTTGGGGCTGTCGAAATGTTCACTTTCTCAGATCTTAGGCTTAGTATTAATAAACGTTCCTCAGCTCAAGTGCACGCACTTGAGAACAATCTTGAGGTTATGATCTTATTAATAAACATTACTCAAGTTGCGGCATAGGTTTATATTATCAGCTGCGGGACTCACGAACAGTAACAAACGAAATTCGGCTCACAAATATAATATGGCATAAATCATAGGGTTTGAAAATATTTTGAGTGAAATTAATTATTACGATAAAATATAGTACTATTACAATATTTTACGAACTTCGCGAAATACTTTACTAAAATGTTTATATAAGGGATGCCTCAAATCCTTTTGAGTTACCATCCTTTTGAGAAGCACCACGAGTCTCCTTATTTTCGACTACAGCTCTTTATTGTTTTATAATATCACGTGAGCAGTTTTTCCTTAATATTTGTGTAAATAAAATTATAACGCGATTAACAAGCATAGTGTATAAAATCACTACACTTAAAACAAGCAGATGTTGTGTCGTCTCTAATTTGACACTGACGCTGTCGCTTTAATGCGTTAGCTTATGTGTACATCAGTGTACATTATTGAGTTGAGCAATAAACATTTAAGACGTATTTAGAAATATATACACAACAGTTTTAACAATTTTAAGGTTTTAGTAAGTAAAAAAGTTGACAGATTTCTTGATTTACATGATTTTTGATATCCAAAAGTGCACAACTCAAAATACTCACATGATCGTGGAAAAATAAAAACATATTATAAATTGTAGTTCTATTCGTCAAAGAATTCCAGTAGCAGTCACCGAAGTACACCTTCAAGTCTCTACATCAAGTCCGGAGTTAAGGTCTATTCATAACTAACAAAACGAGCCCAAACTCGGTACACCTAGTTCTCCTCGTCGAGGAGTTCCAGTAGCAGTCATCAAAGTACACTTTCAGGTCACTCTATTTATCTCGGAGATAAGGACTCATCATAACTAACAAAACGAGGCCTAACTCAGCACATTTAGTTCTACTCTTTCAGGAGTTCCGGTAGCATTCACCAAAGTACACCTTCAAGACACTCTATCAAGTCCGGAGGTAAGGTCTCATCATAAATAACAAAACGAGGACAAACTTGGCACACCTAGTTCTTATCTTCGAGGAATGCCAGTAGCATTCTCCGAAGTATACCTTTTTTTATAGGAAAAGGGTGACAAACGAGCATACAGTCCACCTGATGGTAAGTGGTAGCTGCGGCCCATAGACATCTACATCTATCCTCCATTACTAATCAAAATGCAGATGCGTTGTCACCCGTGAGGACTAAGATGGAACGCCTCATTTACAGTGAAAAGGGTCTCCGATTCTCTACACTCACCATACGAAACACAGCAGCGTTAAGCTGCTATTTGATGCTGATATTCTGTGAGTGCGTGGTCCTTCCCCGGTCGAGCCGACCCATTCCTGCTACAACTATACTACTAATATAGCTGCAGCATGCTCTATCAAGTCCGGAGGTAAGGTCTCATCATAACTAACAAAACGTGTCCTTTATCTTTTTAACAATGTACTTTAGCGAAACAAAATATTATAATAAAAATCTGTGATTATAAAAATATCAACCTTGGTCAAGTATGTATTAAATGTGATTTTTGAAATACTCGTATTTTGTATTTCTACAGCGATCGATATTTTTGCTGCCTATAAACGCTGCTGTAAGCAAACGATACAGTGACTCACGACGGCGGCTGAGGCCGG